GATCTTCGTCAATTTATGTGAATCAGTAATAGGTTGCTTTATTAAAAAATACATGATAGCAATGAATTAGAACTTTTTGCTGAAGATGAGTCAAATAGTGAAATTGAAATAAATTCAAATTTAGAAAATAATGACTATAGTAATAATAAAAAAAGTATTTGATGATTATGAAGAATTATTTGATTTATAATTAAATATAAATAAATAAATACTATATATATGTAGATTATAAAATTTTAAAAAATATATAAAATTAAAAAAAAATATAAAAATTATAAAATATAAAAAAAAGGTTTTATAATTTATCACTGTAGTAATATGTTGCTCATATATGCTAAGTTTCAAGCTTTGTTTACAAATTATAATTTGTAAGCAAAGTTTAGACTCTGCATATAACTATTATACTGGTAATATATTATTATAGTAATAAATTATAAAATACTAAAAAGAATATAAATCAAAAATTTTTTAAAAAAATATATAAAAATTTAAAATATAAAAAATTAAAAAATTATAAAATATAAAAAAAAACAAAAAATTAAAATATAAAAAAATATAACAATTAGGATTTTGTAATATACTGCCATGGTGATGTATTGCCACCCCTGATCAACCAATTAGAATGCAGGATCAGGTGTAATGTGAAATTGAAGTGATTACATTTTTTTTCAAAAATCGGCTGTAGTGCAAAATTTTCACTATGAAACTATCTGTTGTGCTCTAACAAAAAAATTTCCTCGCAGAATTTTGGGTTTAGAGCTTTTTACTAAAGCGCTCTACCCTAACATGAACCCTAACCTAACCCTACCCTCAACCTAACCCCAAGTTAACGAATTTATTTATTGTTTTGATTTCACGTTACACCAGATCTTATAGTGGCGATCATCGCCAGGGCGGTATATTACTAAATTCTAACAATTATTTTATAAAAATGCAAAAATAAAATATTAAAATATCATAAGGCAAAATCTAAAACTTAAATATGTTAATGATATATTTAGTTTTAAGTTTAAATATTAAGTTATAAGATATGTAATCGGCAAAATCTAAATATAAAATAAATATGTTTATTATTAAATTGGCAAACAAAAAATAATTATTTATTATATACATATTATAATTTCAAATATAGCCTTAAACTTTCGGCATAATAGATAAACAATACAAATAAATTTAAAAAGTTATATTTACAGTATAGCTTTTTTGCATATATATAATCTAATGCTAGTGTTCCGATCCTTAATCCGATCATCTGAATTGGTCCCTAAATTTAGATAAATTTAAATATCCAGATCAGAGATTTCTACTCGGATTTGTCAAAGAACTTAAATAACAGACATAAGGATGTTCTCAAAGCTAGCTTTATTTCTAATCTGACACGGATTCAATCCGGATTTAATAGAATCCAGATGGCCTATCAAAGATAGGATCGGAACACTATCTAATGCTAACAAGCCACTATAATGAGAGCAAAATTTTTATAAATTCCGAAAAATTCCCATGCGCATGAAACTTGAAAAAATCAGAATTTGCACAACACTAATTAGGAGACTAATTTTGCATACACAGCCTAGCTTAGGTTCTGTAGCAAAAGTTTTATCCAGAGTACTGTCATATCAGATTGAAAAACCCATGAACCGTAACTCTGGTCGAATTTGCAGATCATTTGGCCAGGTTTGAAATTATTTACTTCAAAGCTGGCCAAATGATCTGCAAATTTGGCCAGAGTTACGGATCACGGGTTTTTCTATTTATCATCTATATTGCTGTTGCAGATCATCATTTGACTAAAGTGCGACGCAGATGTGGGAAATCAAAGCCTATTCTTCAGCGCCAAGGAAGAAGCTAAATTTAATGTGCTCGACAATGACTTGACTCAAGCTTCTGTAATATAAGTTTGTTCATAAAACGTCCCCAAGTAAAACCGAGAAATGTTATTAAATTATTTATAATAATCTACTGGTTTCACATTGGCGACACCAAGTGATTGAAATATCCGCATGGAATGTTCGTTAGTATATAAGGCCTTTTCACCGATTTTAAATTTCTTTTTTTTTTTTTTGATAAAATTGAGATTTCAATCTCTGTTACAGCTTAAGAATGAAATTTCTAGATATGATCGTATCTTGACAAATTTTTTTATTAAGTTTCCTAAACTTTAAACATGACAACTTAACAACAGAATTATATTATGAAACTGTTATATACAAAAATTTGTATAATCTATCTCGCCCCAAACCATAAGTTTGTTTATCGTGCGTTTGTTTTGATATGAACTTCTTATACTCAGTAAAAAATTTGAAGTTTCAAATTTGTATGCGCACTCTTTTACTCATTGTTTGGTACATCAGACTTGTTTGTATATACACTTAGTTCTTCTTTATACCGTGGGAAGTCACCTAATAGAATTAAAAATATAAATTCACAAATACAACGACATAAATTTAATGTGTCAGGATGATGCAAAAATTCGGAGTCTCAATTAAAAAATATAAAACCCACATATACTCTTTAATTATAAATCCTAACCCAATTGTAAGAAAAAAAAAGGTACCCAACAAATTTAAAATTTCATTTTTAAATATGTTCAAATTTCAGCATCATCCCCACAAATATATACTTACTTTCTTGTATATTGTTATATTGACAACGGATAGTACTAACGAATGAGCCTAACACTATAATAAGAAAAGGTAATAGTAAAAAATCTAAATTTTATAAATGATACCATGTTAGTATTAATTTAGGTTAAACTTAGTAAATAATTCTAATTATCTAAATTACTAACCTGCAAAATAATAGGGCCCAAATATTATACAACCTCCAACAATGTATAATAAACCTAAAAGCGAATTAGCAATATAAAATCCAAACAAATTGAATTTGGATTTAGCCGAACGGATCTGTAATTAAAGATTAAATTTTCAATATAAATTACATCAAATGAATTAATATATATATGGGCTAGGTGCTGAGAAAAGGGACGAAATTGACAATTTTTTCGAAAGATTTTTTTCTTACATAAATCAATTTAAAATAAGATTGGAATCATTTTTTACTTAAGATACAAAAGTAGTTGTGTTAATAAAGGTTTGCAATCTAGCTTTATTTTCTTATAATTTATTATAAGATTTGCAACATAAAAAATGATTTTCTGAAGATCTTTTTTTTATCAATTTCGTCCCTTTTCTGAGCACCTAGCCCATATAATATATATTCATATAAATAAATACCAATTGAACCATAAAGTATGAAATTATTGGCGGTAACACCCAGTACCATGGAATAAACATAAAAGCTTCAATATATTCGAGCACTCTCAGTTTAAAATCTTGCTCTACAAACAATTGATTTTTTGTTCCGTTCGTTTTCTCTTTTAAATTTGAGGATGCCACAGTCCAAATGTATCCAAAAATGGAACTATGAATAGCTTGTGCGTAGGCCAAAGCATATTGGCATCGGATTTGACATCTGATTTCATCTTTTTCTGTCAAAAAAAGAATTGATTATTCTACTTTACAGTATGTGATTCAGGAAGCAATAGACTATAAATTTAAAATTAAACATGCCTTTGCGATATTTGCGAATGCAACTGGTGTATATAATTGCATTAGTTTCCTGTGCTTTAACAGTTTTATTAAAAATAACTTACCATACACAACTAAAAAGGTTCATAATTAACAAAGCTAAAGGATATGTATACAAGACATAATCAATAGGGGGAGGATTTGGATATATTATTGATTCGCCCACGACGAAAGAACAAGAAACAATCGAAAAAATCAATGCATCCAAAAGGTGCAAATTTTTAATCTAAAAAACAAATAGCTGTTCAATATAAGTTTAAATTTACATAATATTGATATGAAATTTTGAAAATTTACCGTAATGTATAGAGAAGTAAGATAAACAATCATTAAATAAATTATGCCGACAACAACTGTTGAAACTTTAGCATTGGATAAATTATAAGATGAATCATCTTTATGCTTCTCATAATATATTGCACATAAAATTATTGAAATAAGCACAAGTACAAAATGAAAAAATATCATTAAATAGAAAAATATTTTATAAAGAGATTTGGTCGACTCCATGCTATTTTGATTTAATAATATGAAAAAATGAAAAGGAAGGAATTATTTATTATATATGTTGAGAATCTACTAATATAACTAATATAAATCAAACCTTTATCCTAATTCTAACCTTAATAATTTCATATCAACCTAAATTCGGTTCTCGCTTATATACAACGTATATAAGTATTGTTGTGCTCGAGGCTAAAATAGACCCGATTCGGAATCAGGCTGCCCGGTTGGGTATACTGCAAATCATTTTGGCTGAATTAGGACTTTAAGATTGGTGAATCAGGTTTAAATGAAAAAATTTTGATTTTAGTTAGAATAATTCGGGCCAAAATTGCAAAATTTTCATAAATTTGGCCAATTCAATCCCTATAAAAAAAAGTCGATGTTTTTTCCGTAAATGTTCATTAATAACCTTAAATCATGGAAATTATTCGGCTTGTCTGGATTTTATTGATCATGTTTCAGATTTGCGGAGTTTTCACAAAATATATAGAAAAATAATTGAAATATTCGGATAAAATTTCTTACAGGGAATTCGATGTACATGTATTTTTTTGGTTATAATAGTAGTCATGCGAAACTCGAAGTTTTATCATATACATAAATATATAAATATATATATTAATATATATTTATTTTTAAAATTATATTTCTATATAGTATATAAATATATTGTCTTCACATACGTGCAAGATCAGATACCAAGTGCATTGTATCAACTCACCGATAGTGATAGATCCTCAACCTCTATATAAACAGTAATAATCAGCCATTATACATTTTTTTGAATTTATATAAAGCCAAGATGTATCCTGTAATGATATTATAAATGCTATTGTAAATGGCAGAAAGAACGTTGAATCTATATTGCAAATTCTTCGTATTTAAATTTTCAAAATGCAGAACACCATGCGAATGGCTTGTAAGAATAATAGTTTTTTTATATACACTAGACCTTTGGACAAATCTTGTTTTTAGGGCGGCTGCTCCAGGGCTTATCGTGGAACAACGATTCGAAAATGTCTATTTTCCAAGTAAGCCAAATTCATGATACATGCGTAATTTTAAAAGTAGAGATTGTACCCAGGTATTGCTAAGATATCTAGGTGAATTATTATATATTTTTGATAAAGCTCTATCCGGGTACAATATCTACCTAGAAGAAATCTTCCTTTACTTATGTGTTATATTTATAGATTTCACAATATGTCATAAATGTAAGTAATAAACTCTTTTATTCATAAAAATGAATGTAAAAAATTTCTTCTATTTCATAAAGATTATATATTCAAATAAACTTCTTTTATTGTTAAATTCATAGTAATAAGTCCTAATGTGACATCTAATAATGCAACATCACCACCTATCGACTATATGAATGATTATAGTTTAACTAATTTGTGCTTAGTGGATCTACTACCTTTCAGTTGCAAAAAAATTCAGCATACGGGACTTATAGAAGATCCTAGACCTTACAAATTAGATCCTGACATTAATTCAAATACCATGTTTTTGAACATATCAACCAACAACCAGAACACTTTATTATCGGATTACTTTGAACTTACTATTGATTTAGATGGTAACCAATTGAATGATCCAGAAAATTTATATCATATCAGTGGTAAACATCCAATACTACGTGGTCAATGGCTTGTTTTAGAATATTCTATAGTAATTCAGTTATATTATAATGATTCGCTAAAGGGTTTGTTTGGGTTTAACCCTGATAAAAACTATATATATGTTGATTTTAAAGAAAAAAGAGTATTTCCTTTAGCAAATGCAACATACTCAATGTTAGAATTAGTACCGGGGGTGCCACCTGTTCTTTATGAACATGAATATACTCAAAAAACATGTAAGCTTAATTTTTTTTAATTTATATTTTTTATATTACTTAAATGTTTTTTCAAATTATTAGTTGATATGATACTATCTGAAATTGGTGGATTGTATATTGTGCTTATTTCATTACTAACATTCTGTTTTGGTGCACCCAAACTTAGTCCATGGTAAATATAAACTACTATATTATACATTTTGATTGTATAACGCAAATAAATATTAGCTCGTCTTAATTTTAAATCCTTTTGCTTGTAGGAATTGTTGTCAAAAGTATTCGTTATATAGACCAATACGTCGATTTTCTAAAATGGGGTTTGCTAAAGAAAATATCCCTAAATATAAATTTGGAATTCCGTTAGGTGATCTAGAAAATTCGAAAGAAAACCAAGGAATTGATGACCTTAAAAACCGATTAGATGCATTAGAGCATTTGTTAAAGGACATTTATCTTGATACTAATTTTCTAGAAAGCGTTGAAAAAACACGTAAAAAGATTAATGAAATTGATGAAGAAAAGGCAGAAAACCAAAATACTGAATAAGAATGTTTATTTGCAAATATGGCATAAACATAAGTTGTTATTGTATATGCGCTACAATATTCGTGTATTGGTTATAAATATTGCATTATTATTAGGCCATGCAAATTAAATTTTTTATCATTACATGGGACAAGCAAATAGGACCGGCCAGCCGGCAAAAAATGTTATATTTAAAAAATTTTATCATATAAAAAAATTTTTTATAATTTTTTTTTATTTTCATACAAGAATAAAAATTTTATATAAAAAATTTTTAACTTTTCTAAAAAGTTACCCGACCAGGTAACAAGAAACAATTGTTTATTATTTATTATATATATATATTATTATTATTATTATTATTATTATTATTATACCAGGAACGGAATGATATATAATATCATGAATAGTGCGAATAATCCGGATCCGACGGTCGGATCGAGTCAGGGACCCGTAAAATTTTAGCAAAAAATTTAGAATAAATTTTGATTTAAATTTAATAAATTTTAGATAAATTTTATAAGTTCATTCTTTTATTTTGTTAAAATACTTAATAATTCAGTAAAATTAGGGCATCAATATCCAATACAAACTAAATTTTACTAATGAAATCATAACCACCCACTAAGTGAAAGTTGTTCCTGGGCCAATTTTGAAAAAATTAAAAAGTTAATTCCGGACGGAAATTAGTAAATGTGGGCCAAATTTTTGAAGATCCTCGGTCCAATTTTGTTGCGGCAGCTATGGTTAATCATTCATACGATCACAAACTATAATATAGTATGGAAATTTTTAGAAAATTGATAATTTTAGATATAAATTCCTTAGAATTTAAAAGTTTGAGTTGATTAGGTTTTTTGTGAAAATTTTATATCTAAAAATTTTACGGGTCTGTGGTAGATAATACTGCACCGATACAAGACTGCAGTAGTCTCTCATTTAGCTTCTTATCCACATTATTATCATCTGCCAAGAACTTTTCTAATTATGTAGATTAATATGACCAGACCTGTACAGTTGGGGTGTGAGATACCCTTTTTTTTAACATCTATTCCGGCGTTATGTATTATTAGGGTTAGCATTAGACAATTAGTATAAAATGTTTTTTAAAGGGGTATTTTACACCCTATACGTACTATAACTTATACATCTAAAAATCTTGTTTATTTATACGTAGTGTTTCATATCAATATAGTTATGCTGAATTTAGTTATATTCCCGAACAAGAATTAGCGATATGAAATGCAGTGAGTTGAGTGTAATTGAGTATTTGTAGGAGAAGTAAATTTTAGTATTATTACATAGGTAGGAGTGATAAATAGTTTTATATTGAAGTTATGAATTGATAAGGAAAAAATTGTATAGTTTAGTTGGTTTAAGTGAAGCTTTTATGGAGGTTTTTTAGATAGTTATAAATGAAGGGAGTTATAGATGATAGGAAGAGGATGAAGATGGGTAATAAAATACGTGTGGGTAATTGAGGTAAAGTTTAAAATAGATTTGGTTTGTATGATAAAGTTAATTTTTTTTTGTTGGAATTGAAGTAAAAATTTTGTTTATGCAAACTATAGATTTTGTAAAATATGTAGATTTTGTCTATTGGAGATATGTTAAGTGAGCATTTAATGAATTTTGTGTAATTTATTCGTTCATTTATAATTCAATACGTAAAATTTAGTAATCTCTTATGAATTGAATGATAATATTTGTATATTTACATTAGGTATTGACTGAATAAGTTACACGGATATTCCTTAGTGTTCATGTTAGGTAGTGAATTGTTGAAGTTTAGTAAGTATAATTTAGGTACTGTTAAGATTATTTTTAGCATTAAAGTATTGTTATTTATTTTATAAAGGAGACTTCGATATTATGGGGGTTTGTAAAAAGGTGTGAACCTGTGATTTCGTGATGATGATAATGAAAAAATTTCCGAGATTTTAATACTTATTGATCATAATTTTTGATTAATAACGTTTATATTTTATTTGGAATCTTTAAAATTCTCTAAGAATTGAAAAATCTACTAGAATCGGCTGATTTCTTGTGATTTTACATGATATTATGTTCTGCAGAGGTCAGAACTTTTTGCAAACCGCTATAATGTAGGTTTGATATATGTAGTTTGATTAATATTGTTAGTATTGATAAATTTATTTTTTTTGGTTTAAAGTGTATGTTAGTTTAGAGAATTTTAAAGGGAAGACTTATATGAAAAGTAAATTTTATAAATTTATAGCAGTTTTACTTAGGACGTAGTAGTGATTGGTTATCTATTTAATTTATTTATCGTTATAGGTTAATAAGGTAGATTGTGAAAGAGGGATAAGTTATTGGTATAAAGTTAGAGTTATCAGTATAATAGTTATATTGAAGTTTAGGAAGGTAGTGTAGTTTGTAGTGTTATAAATAGTGGGTTATCTATCATTGTATCGGATTGGAAGTATTGTTATATGTAATTGATAACAGAATTGTAGTGTGACATTAATAAATTTTATTTATGTTTTAATATGATGGTATTGCTAAAGTATGAGGATAATGGATTGAAAGATAAGGTGTTAAGAAATATAATTAACGTTAGAATAAAATACTTAAATCCTTAATTCATTGCACTAATTCGTTTTTTTAGATGTTTGAAATATAGAGGAATATGGGTATGTGAGTAATTTGTATGTTTTTTAAATTTATATTATATATATATTTGGAATTATCTTATAATAGTTTGGCGAATGGAGTAGATAGGGAATATAATATTTACATATTGGTTTTAAATTATGGAGAAGGGTATCGATTTCAAGGTAAGGGTACAAGTATTTAAGAGAATTTTTGTTGTATTATGTTTTAGGTTGGAATTGAATTATCTTTTCGATGATATAATTATATATAATATTTAGTGAATTAGAAAAGGGTAGGCAAAAATATAGAGATATCTGTTTGTGTGATTTTAGAGAGTTTTTTTTTTTTTTTTAAGAGAGGTCCTTTTCTCGTATCCTTTATTATAATTGTATTAGATTACATGTTTAAACACGATCTAAAACTAACTATTTGTGGATGGAAGATAAAGCTAATTTACTCCGGACCTAATCTTAGCTAGATCGGTCCAAGAACCTCTAGTCTATGTAATTAATGTCGATGGGGTTGTAATTATTTAAAATGTATCTTTTGATCCAACGATAAGTGTTTGAATATTTTACTGTGTAATTATTAACCATTGTCACCTGTATGATTCCCTGTGATGGTGATGTCGTAACTTGGTGTTGAATTTCTCTACTCGGTTTCCAGATCTCTTCATATACTTTTTTTATAACGTTGTAGTATAGTTTCACTGTCGCTTCTTTCTTCGGTCCCGGTAACATTGTTTCCATTGTTATGAATCCTAAAGGCGTTTTTTCTTGAATGTGTGTCTTTTTGAACCTACTAATAAATTCGTTAGGGTTTAACATATTTATTTCGAACTTTTGTACTGTGTCATGTAACACTTGGGTTAGTATTGTCGTGAAAGTCCTATCATTAGCTGGGCATTGTATCCAATGTGAGTTGTCTTCCTGGTAATAGGTGCATCTCAGACACTCTGGTGAGGCTATTTCCGCCGGGTTTCTTTGATGTAATATGAGTCGATTTGGTAGTTCATTAGTGATGATTTTGATCTTGAAGTTTTTTAGTTTCAACGTAGCTGTATTAGTTTGCCGTTGATTGATTTTGTCTTCTATGTTGATTGAGTTGAATGTTAGTTGCCAGTTTATTATATTGTTGATCGCTCTATATCTTTGAATCCTCTTTTGTGATGTCATCGTTCTAGATTCATTGCCTTAAATAGATCCTTCAGTAGTAATTTAATAGGCATGTGAATGGGGAAGCCGTATATTTCAGGTAGATAAAAACTATTGAGAAAAGGTCTTATATTTAGTTCAGTTAGTAAGATTGGTAAGTCTTTCGGTCTTTTGATGTTCGTTCCCAGATTTGTGCTTATTATGATATTTTTATGGTCTTTTACTCTATATAGTATGCTAAGGAATTGGTAGTAGGTTTCTTTTTTTCGGTTTAACGATTTGAGATGTTGGTTAATTTGTTCTATGAATTTGATTATACTCATTGAGTTAGTGTTAATTATTATTTGTGAATTTCTCGCACTACTATAATTAGCGCTATTATAGCTATTTTTTTTGGTTTTTGCCAGTATTCATTCCGGAATTGAAGTAGGTGATTGTTAGTTTTAATGACTGCCACTGGTGTTGGCCCTTCCAGTTTTATTGATGTGATTAGTATGTCCGTCGTCTTATTTGTTGTGTTTGTATCTGCTATTTCCAATAGTTTTCTACCTATGTTGGAGAAGGCTTGTGTAATGTTGTTACTAAGTTCGGAGTGTTTTATGTCATTTTTTGTATTCTGTTTGTTTTGATAGCTCTCGGTGGTGATTGGAAGAAGTTGATGTTGCCATGCATTATTTTCTTTTTGTCGACCCTGATTTTGAAGATTTGATTTAAATTAATTTTGATTCTACAATATTTGGAATTAGTATTTCTGTGTGTGCACCCCATGCATTTTGAAAGACTGTTGTTAGCTGAATTTAATGTCCAGTGCTGAATAGTGGTATGATTTGTGTTTGATTTCCTCATTTTTCCTATTAGCTTTTGTGAGGTTATTACCCAACGGTGTTTATTATCATGAGTGATCGGTTGCCAAATGTATGGGTTAAGGGATGGGAATGTTGTAGCTGGTGCCGTATGTTCTGCAATTAACTGTTAAATGTAGTTGTACCATTTGGGTGTTCTTCCCCTTGGTATTTTCTGTATGTTATGATGGAATTCTCTCCACGTGATAAACTCCGTTGCATTAAGAAATTGTTCAATCGTGATGACATTGTGTTTATTAAGACAATCCTTAATCTTGGAGTTTGATAGAGAATGGACAAGTAGTTCATTTATCGAAGTGCCTTCGAATTGCATTGTAATTGGCCAATTGACAGGCAGTTCTACAAAGGTTATGTTCATGTTGTGGCGGTTGTTATTAATTGATTAGTGTAGGAATTTTGTTCGCTTGGCATAAGCGTGGCTAGTTTCTCGAGGATTGATATATTAGTTCTTGCGCTGTTTTGTAACTGCTGGATCCGTATTTTAAATGATTTGTGCATCTCGTTAAGTTGGTTATTTAAGGATATTATCTGGTTAGTTGATTGGATTTGGGCTAGATCTAGTAGCCCATAAAGGAATGGGTTTGTGAAAGTAGTATTAGGTACTCCTCTTGCCAGTGATGCTTTTTGCTTTACCGTCGAGATATATTTGGTCATGATTTGGGTTGAGTAAGGTTGACATTTTGTAATTGGTATTTGATTTGTGCGAGGAGTACTATGTTTATTATATAGATTGCTTGTTTCTCTGTGATGTGTGCAAACTGTAGTTTTTTAACTGTTGGTTGAAGGCTCGAATGATTTGTTTGATGACAATCATGTTTGTTGGTGAGTGATCTATAAATGTGCCTAGAAATCTGAGTGTTTTATTTTTTTCTAAGTTTTCAATATACTGTTCTTGAAAGATAATCGGGTCTTTATCATTTTGATTGTTATGAAGTAACACTGATTTGCTGGGGTTGACCATGATATTGGCGAATTTGTAGAATGAATCTGCTAATGTAAGTGTATTTTCTAGTTGAGTTCTACTTGGTGCTATCCACATGGTGTTATCCATGTAGGCTATGACTGTGGTACTGTAAGCTAAGTTTATTTTCATTCTCGGGTTAGTAACTGACATGGTGTATCCTTGTATTTCTTTTTCAACCCGGGCAATGAGCGGGTTGTAATATATTCTTCAGAGTATTGGGGATATGGTTTCTCTTTGATCCAGTCCATCATGAACAGAGTATGTCAGTGTTTGTCCAATACTAGTAATAACTTGGTTGGTACAGTGTTGCAGGATATTCGTAAGTAATTCAATTATTTGATTAGGAATATGTAGTCTCGCCAATGCTTTGATTAAAAGGGGAATATGCACTGTGTTATAAGCTTTTGATGTATCTTGGGCTAGGATCCAAAGTTCTTTTTTATTTGCTGCTGCATCTTCTCTAATATGTGTTAACCTATTTATGAGTTGTACTGTTGAGGTTCCAGGTAATGCAACATTGTTACACTCTGATAAAACATTAATGTTGACAAGAACTTGATTTATACGATTGGTTATGATTTTCGTGAGTATCTTTCTAGTGTGTTCGATGAGGGTTATTGGTCTTGTTCTTGATAGGTCTCCATCCTTGTATCCACTTTTTGTGATAGGCCATACAAGTCCTTTGGTCCAAGCTGTCAGAATAGTTTTAAGCTGGAGGCATGCGTTAAATATATTGAGGATGTTCGATTATGCGACTTCGGGTAGGTGTTTTAACATCTCATTTGAAATCAAGGAAGGGCCTGGGGCTTTAGCCATGGGTGATTGTTGTATCGTGTCTACTAGTTCTGTGATAGTGATTAGTTGAACTAAAGTGTTATAATATGACGGGTTGATCGATGTGATTGGTTGGTAATACTCCTGCCATTCCGGCCATAAATTCCAGTTTGTTGGGTTGTGGTCAGTCCACCGTTCAAAGTGTGCAGACGTCACTTTTTTTATTTGTGCTGGATCTGTGATCACCTCTGATGCTAGTGTTACGTTGATTGAGCTGACGTGTTGCTATTGGCATTTTAAGATGCTGTTAATCATTTTGCCGGTATTGTCCTGGAAGTTGTTTTGATGCTTTGTAATTCTGTTGTGGATTATCTGTTTTTGTTGTTGTAAGTTTTCCGTGTTACATGCTATATATAAAGCTTTCCTTAAATCTTTTAGTTCTCTAATCGTTTGGTTGAAATTTGGAGCTTCTAATTCATTCGTAGTTAATTGTTGTGTCACTAGATTTGATGATTCTATTTCCCTCAGGGTCTCGTTTACATTGTTCACCAAGTAGGACAGTGACAAGGGCAAAAATTGTGTTAATGATGTTAGGAGTTTGTTTATCAATTTGAAGTGTTGGTGTAGCTTTGTAGCCTGATGTGAGTAAGGTGTGAATGTATGGGAGCTCATTAATGTGTATAGGATGTGTTTGTTAGCTGCTTGTTTAATGATGTTTTGTATGTTGTTCCAAGCTTTGTCGAGAGATTTGGTGTTTGTTTTTTGTACATAAGTCATTGAAGACTGTCTAGTCAAGTTGTCTATCTGTTCTTTAAAACAATTCCATTTTTCCTGGCTCATATTCGAGTAGTTGTATATTTTTCGTTTAACTTTGTGCTATCATGGTACTTTTATAATGTTTGGGATATGCCACCTTGATTGGATTATTTTGTAGTCGCTGTTTGTCGTCGATGCTAAAGATAGTATTAATGGTTGCTCTATGTCTAATATTATTTCTTGGTTTGTCCAAATGTCATCAATTTGACTTGAGGTGCTTTGGTTGTTCCAAGTCAGTTCATTAATATTGTAAAATTTTAGTGCACTTATTAAGCTGGAAGTATTTAGGTAAGTGATTAGTGTTGATGGATTCTTTTTTGATATGTTGGAATTGAAGTCTCCTGCTACTAAGATATTATAGTTGAAGGATCATGCTTGTTAAATCCAATTAATAATTGTTTGCTGGGCTGCATTGGTTGTGCTGGAATTGGCTGAAAGTATATAGACTTCTATTATCCTTGTTTTGTTGCGATTAGATAAGTATAGGTCAATGAGCAGTGCGTGTCCTGGTATAGCCTTTATGTTGTGGATGTATGGTTGGAGTTCTGGTTTCAATCCTATTGCTACTCCTTTGACCAATTGACATAGTGAAGCGTTGTAGTCGTCACAGTTTGCTGTATAAATTTTGTACCAGGGGTTAATGAGACTTGCTGGGTGGCAATGGTCTGCTGACAGTTTTGTCTCTGTCATTATACATATATTTGTATTTTGTCTAGAGCAGTATTGAAGCCATGTTTGTAACTTAAGATTAACATTAATTCCTTGGACATTGTGGATTACTATGCTGAGACTTGAATTTAAGTTTCTGTTGGCTTGTGCTATCTTTGGCTGTGTAATGTTAGTAGTCTGTCTAGTATTCTGGGTTAGTGAGGTATGTGTCTCTGTGATGGGTTGGTTATTTAAGTTCATTTGTTCGTATGTTATGTAAATATCTTCCAACGTTGAGTCGGCTATGCTTCTTGGTTCAACTATTAGGCAGTGGGTGCATAGTTATCAAAGATATCCCATTCTGGTGAAGGTAGGTCTGGGAGGTTGTATAGATACGTTGGTGTTACTGTTATGTTAAAGTAAGTGCTAATGCTATCCATAGTAATTTCTATTGCATTGTATTCTTTGATAGGCAGTTGTAGTTTTAGATTGGGATCTAATGTAGCTAGCTGTTGCTGTAAATCATTAATGTTTGACGGTATGTATGGTTTTTGTTTGCTTGAGATTTTTACTTTTTCTTTCTTCGGAATATCTATCCATTCGATCAGAATTTGTCTAAAGAAATAGTGGCCTCTTAATTCTCTGGCTATATCGATGAGTTGTTTAGGTGTCATGATTGGTATGGTAAGGTTCATATGAGGTATATCTGTATGATTTTTTGGGAGTTTGGGTTTGTTTGTATAGTTAATGGTAGTGTAGTTAAGGGGAAGGGTGTCTGGATTCTGTATTCATCTTCAACTTCTGCTATGAATTGCAGCATACTAGTTTTGTCAGATAAAGGGAAGTTATATCTCCTTGCTGTTGTTAACTATAGGGGTTCGGTTAGTAATTGTTTTTTTGGATGATATAGTCATTTGGTAATTTTTTGAATCTGTACACTCTGCGTAATTGTTCAATAAGGCTTTTAAATTCTGTTTCATTTTTTGGTTTACAGGGGAAGAGGTTACTGTATTCTGCTCTCAGTGCTTGCAGTGTGGACGGGAGATAGATTTTTTCCGGTGGTAAATCGAAGTATATTGATGGGAGTTTCTCTTGGAGTGTGTAGATTTTTCTGAGTTCTCTGCGATATTCTGCCAGATAGGCTAGTCTACTATGATCTCTTAGTGGGAATATGTGATTCAACACTTTAAGTTCTGCTAGGTTTCTTGGTAGGGGTGTTCTAGCAGTTACAAAGTATGCGTCAGGTAGTTGGCCAAAATTGAATATAAGCCTTATTGCTTTAACTATTGCTGCTGTTTTATTGTTATCTTCGATAGGTAGTGTGAATGGTAGGAATTCAGTGATGTCGATCGGTACATCTTCTGGTTTATCCGGGAGTTCTTGTCTATTCTCAGACTGGTATTTACCAATAGTTTTACAAGCTTGTTCAAATTTTATTGTGGATTCGATTTTGCTAAAGTTCATTAGATAGTAAATGTGCTAGGCGCTAACGTGATCTCCTAACAGAGGTAGGTTTAATGATAAGATTGTATCGATGGCTAATTTTTTCCTGATTTTGTCATATATTTGGTCTCGGTTGTTTTTATTGACTAAGGGAACATTGTGTTTACGTTTGTATTTCTCAATTACGATGTTCAACAATGAGTTGAATTCTTTCAGATAGTTGGGCTGGGTATTTCTATCTCGTAAGAAGGATCTAAAGAATGCTGTATCGCGGAATTTCAATTTGCTTGCAATCGCTGTTGGTATATTAATTGATGGTATTGCAGCTACTTGGCTATAGGATGATTTTTGTTTGCTTACTTTGTTGATCCAAACATTGTGTTCTATTGAGTCTGACTTTGGTAATTCTTTTACCAACTCTGCTAACTTAGGATTTGCTCTGTTGGGTTGATTAACTAGGTCTATCTCGGTCGTTGTTATCAGTTAGTCAATAATCATTTGATCAACATTAATTGTGGCACATGGCATGGGAGTATTTGCTCAGGTTACTTCTACCTCAGTTTGTTGTGTTGATGACGTCAATTGATTTGTTGTAAGTTCAGAATTTTTGACAGTTTCCGTTACTTGGTTTTCATTATTCTCGTTGGCTGAGGTTGTTTCTTGGTGTTACAGTTTGTTGTTGTCATCCGTGGTGTTGATGTGTTCTTTAGTTGATATGATAGCAGTAGTTGGTAGTTGGGTGTTGGTTTGGTCATTCTGCATTGTGTTTGCTTTGACGCGTTTAACAGAATGTTGTTTATCTTTGGTTTGGTGTTCGTTGACACCTTCCATGCTCTCTGGTGTGTCGTATAGTAAGTTGAAGTAGTTTTTTTTGTTGTTGGTGGGTGTTGTTATAGTCTCTTCTTTAATTATATGCAGGTTTTTTAATTTATTCTGATGGTTTTTTAATTTAATAATTAAAATTTATGTTTTTACCAAGCAGGTTGATTTTAGAGAGTTATATACAATTGATGATTATAAAGTTTGAAAGAATTGGAATGAAGTAATATTTGAGTGTGAAGTTATAGTTGAACACATGTGCTTTATATTTACGTAAGTATTTTGATTTAAGAGATATGATAAAATTTTTTTTAACAATTGAAAAGTTTAGTAGTATTATTAAGAGATTTAAGTTGTAGGATATGTGAAGTGTTATTGAAGATTCTGTAGGTCTTTTGCATGCATTATGTATAATCTTTTATATTCTTCAAGAGCAGATGTAGGACGTTTGATGTAGTTGTAGTCGAAGTGTAAGATGTGAAGATTTTCCCAAGAAGTTGCTCTACTTAATGCAACATAAACCTAACCTTCAGCAAATACAGTTTCATCTACACTTGTAGTTACATGTGGTAAGATTAGGCCTTGTACTTTATGAGTTGTGAGGGCGAAGACATTTTGTAAAGGAAACTGTTGTCTTGAAGCAGGTATACCATTAATCTCAAAATATGAGGTTTCTCGCTGAACTATAACTTTACTAATTCCTTGGTTAGTAGGGAAAGTGACTTCAACATTATCATAGTCTAAGAGTTTAGTAATTAGTCCAATTGTATCATTGCATATTTCCTGATCAAAAAGCTTATTGTTTAAAAACATTACTTAGGCGCCTTCTTGTAAGTGTAATAGATGAGGTAAATTTGTCACATTTTTAAATTGGTGTAATGGTGGTTTTGATCTATTGCTTTGAAATTTAATGTATCATTTGAAGATAAAATGATTGGATTACTACAAGTATGGTCATAAGGAAGATAGTTACAAAGTATTTGATTTATGTTACTGGCTATTTGTCGAGTAGGAACTATATGAGTAGTGTTGAAAAATTCTGTAAGAGAAATATTAGGATTTATTTTTGTTTCGATAATAGATTTGTTTCTGTCTAATAATCTTCCAATGCGGATTTCTTGTAAAAAGTTGTAAAATTCTAAGTCATTTTGTTGACATTGAGGAGAGGTAAGAAATAAAGGAAAGAATTTAGGCCATACTGGAGAGTGAAAAATTGGAATTGGGCATACAGGAGGAAGTTAAGCTAAATCTCCTACTACTAATATTGGTACACCTCCAAAGAGAAGATTGTTTTGATGAATTTTAAAAAAAATATCACTAATAAATGTGAATAATTCAGCATCTACCATTGATATTTCATCAATTATAATAGCTTCTATTTTTCTTAATTCCGATTCAGTTTCAGAATTAGAATGGATTAGTGTTTCATAATGTGCACCATGGAGATGAATTTTTAATATTAAGTGAATTGTTTTTCCACTAATATTTTGAGCCGCTACTCCAGTTGGTACCATTAATAAATATTTTTTTCATTTGGATAATAAAAATGCAATTAATTGGAGTAGCATGAAGGTTTTTCCTAGAAATGTTTTTTGTTATAGATAGGTTAGTTTTAATTATTATTGGTGTATTAAATTGATAGATTAGAAAATATCAAGAGTAATAAAGTAAGAAAGCGACAAGGATTTAATAGTGTTACAGATTGAGATTGAAAAATTTGGTTGGAGTGTAAACTAAAGGTAATAATTATAAATTAGTTACAATATAACTTTTTAAAAGTAAGATTTCTTAATATTATTTATATAGTATTATATAAAATGATAGGTTGTTAATATAATTAGTTGGTAATGTTGAGTAAGCAATTTGTAAAAGAAGAACTTTTAGAGAATTGAGTATCTTGTAAAGTAAATAGTATAACTTGTATACTACTAGTTTAGTATGGTATTGTTTTAAATATTCTGATAATAAGATTAGAAAATAGTTTGTAGTTTAATATTATTTTTTAAATTTGATTTGAATATATGATTATAGGTTTTTTGGGTATAAAATATGCTAGTTAATTAAATGTTAGTAAGAATTTTTTTACTATAGTTTTTATTAAATTAAAGTATTATAATTTTGATATTATTAAATAAACATAATTAGACATAAATATTATACGAATTATTAAAGATTGTTGTTTAAAACTAATATATTTAAAATATGTGAATGGTATTTTTACTAATATGAATTAAATTGAGACTTTACCTATTCCAGCTGAACCAGTTAGAAAAAATATGGGTATTTACCAAAGTTTGATTTTCCCTATATATTGCATAAAATGCTATAGATTTCATATTGTTTTGTGTCTAGTGATAAAGGAGTATATATATTAAGAATAGGTGTGTGCTTTTCTAGTGATAGAAACTAATTAAAAATTAAAGAAGATAATTCTTGATTTTGAAATTCGTTTACAAGAGATCTTAATATCGAAATATATGCAGTAGATAAATGAGTTTGTTGAGTAATATAACTTTGGCGAATTGAATTTACTGCTTGATTATATTTAGTAGAAAATATAGATTGGAAATGATCTCTATAGGTGGGGTATCCTCCTAATAGTTCCTGTTCAGATCTTACAGGAAACTTCATAATAAGATGTTAAAAAAAGAATAGCTCTCTATCTTCTACTTTGTAGTTAGTAAATCTTAGAAGAATTGGTGTTTTTCTCTGAGCTACAATTCTATTTTTACGATCACGAGTATAAAATAATTTAGAGTTTTGGCCAGGTTCTTTAGATTAAAAAGTATAGTCATGAAAGTAAGCAGGGTAGTCATTTCTTGGAAAATCTCATGATTAGGGCAATCAAAATACTTATCAATGGCATCATCCCAATAAGAGATTTCAT